TGTCTGCCATTCCTGTCCTCCAGGATTGGTTTTTAGTAGGGCTGCAATATCTGCGTACGTGGTCTCAGGCCTATTAGACTTATTGTTTGACGCGGCTCTGTTTTGTGGTCTGTGCGTGGAAAACTCTGCCTTCCTGTTCTGGGCAGCCTGGGGGGTCTGGGGAGCCTGTAATAGCTTTTTCTGTACTGTTTTTGGTCCTGGCTTTGTTGAGGAAAACTTAGCTTGTTGAAGCTCCTGTATCTTCTCTTCTAGAGCCTTAATTCGGGCTTCATATTGCTGCTCACGGATCTGTTGCTGTACTGTCTGGGTCTCAATTATCTGGTTAATATAGGCCTGTATTGTTTCGAGTTCTGCCTGTCTTTCGAGCTCCTGGCTTTCCAGCGATTCTGCTAGGGCTTGATAGTGTTTGTGTAGAGATCTTCCAGGATTTAGACTGTGTCCTAGTATTTGGTCTCGTTCTCCCCGCTTTCGGCTGCTTTGAGCGCTCTGTGTAGTTCTGCTGCTTTTAGAGCTGGCCCTACTTGGGGCTCTGCTAGATTCGCTGCTGCTTATCTGCTCCAGGTTTATAGGTATATCTAAGACCCTAGGGCCCCCGCGATATATCGGTGTTGGTGATGGTGGTGATGGTGGTGGCACGCCGTTTAGGGGTGCCCATCTCGACGCGCTCGGTAGACTACTATTATGGGGGTTTGGGACCTCTATAGCGGTTTCTGGGGCCTCAGGGGGCCTTTCTCGATCGATTGACGTGTTAAAATGACGTGTTTAGATTGAGTGTTGATTTTGATGTTCCATCTATATCTCTATAGTTCTGTGGTTTATGGCTCAGGAGCCTGATCAACTCTTAAGTATATTTTCTTCAAGTCTATAAATGATATAGTATAACATTGGAGATTTATATGTACAAAGATAAATACTTCTATAAAGAACTGGATAGATAATGCTAAACTAAGATATATCTTGGAGTTTCAGCTTTAGAAATCGCTTGATCTCCTTAATTAGTATACTAGATATGATTATAACCACCCTTATTCTACTTATCTACCACAGCCGCCCGCTTAGCAACTGGCCATATACAACCATTATGCTTAAATATCAGAGACAACAGTCTAACGATTCCGAGAGGAGATGACTAAATATAATGCAATTAAAGTACTGTGTCTAACCAAATAATAGCCTATGCGAATAAAATTGAGTAAGGAAAGAAAACCAATGAATTTGAGAGAACGGGTACAACCGTGAGTCCTGCAGACATGAGGTTTCTGCCCTTGCCCCCCCCCCCCCCCAAGTATTTGATTTAGTTCAGGGTGGTTTTCATGAAGTCAATTGCAACATTGAGCATGACTTGAGCACTGGCCTCAACGGTATCCCAATCGTCTTCATATGCCCATACGGGCAATTTGATCACTGACGAATGGAATGCAACGGCACCGGGAAAGTCGGCGGCCTCCCAATCCACAGTGTACATGTTTGGCTTATACACATGACCCAAGATATCCCAAGGACGTTTGTACAAAGCCTCATCATAAAGAGGCCTGGTCGAGTTGGGGATATCAATGTGCTTCATCCCGCGAGCCATGACCTCTTGCACATAACGCTCGCGTGTCAATCCTGGCGGAGCCTGGGTTTCGTCAAACCGGAAGATCAGGGCATACCATGCCGGTTGGCAACCGACGTCAACGGCAGGTGCCTTTAAGAACGGAACGGGGGCAAGAGTCTGAATGAAATGGGCTACGCATTTTGACTTGCAGTAAAGGATTGCCGGTAGCTTTTCCAATTGGTTTTTGGCAATGGAAATTGCCAGTGGATGCGCCCGGTTCTTCAAACCTGCGCCCGTGACGGCAAACTCCTGAAGAGGGTGGTTCTTGGGGATTTCTGACTTGCAGCGTTTGTTGTAATGTCCGTGGATCAGCTGTCGATAGTAGACTTCGGAGTGGGGGGTCAAAGAAACACCTCCTTCACCACCACTTAGTACTTTGTCGCCCTGGATCGACCAGGCGGCGCCGTCGCCAAAGGTTCCAGTTTTCTGCCCATTGACGGATGCACCATGGGCATGGGAACAATCTATATATCTGTTAGCTGTCGTCTGAATGGCACACAGGTTACGTATCATGGCTACCTTCGAGCAGGAGGATATCATTCTTGCGGCAAATGCTAACAATCTCTTCCATCGCACATGGGACACCCCACATATGGGTAACAATGACGGCCTTGGTCTTGGGAGTGATTGCACGAGCAATCTTTCTCGGGTCTATATTGCCGGTTTCGGGGTGGGCGTCAACAAAAACAGGCTTCACGCCCAAATGCATGAGCGGAGAGACAGTGGCGTGGAAGGTGTACACAGGAACAATAACCTCGTCTCCAGAGCCCAACCCGGAAGCGTAGTAAAGGGCATATAATGCATTTGTACCAGAATTGTGTAACAGGGCATGATGATTAGGAGTATTATGAAAAGAACTGAAGGCTTTCTCGAACTGGCCGAAAATACCACTGTTGTTATAGATACTTAGGGTAGTATGCAGTTGCTTGTCAACAGCCCTTTCGACATCTAGTGTCACCTTTGGCCAGCTCCAAGCCTTCGTGAGTGGGTCCTGGGCTACTTTGGTGTCCAGGGATTCATTCCCAAGCCGGTAGATCTCATCGATGAGTTTCATGACGGCGATATCTCGGTTCAAGTCCCACTTCTGGGCATCGACGCCATCCATGAAGCTCACCAGACCCCTCTCGAGCAGAACAGAAGAAGGTTCCTGGACGGTGTACTCCTCAGTTGGAGTGAGGCTGCCTGTGTCATCACGCAAGGATAGACGAACAAGATCACTATCAAGGGACAAGATGCCTCCTTCTCCGATAATAGAGATCCTCTCTTCATTTTTCGCACCGGAACGGGATAGAACAACGGTTGCGTTTACACCCTGGGCAAACTCGACAGAAACGTGGGCGGTGTCATCGACATCATAGTCACCCTGACGGGTCTTCATCAGTGCAGCATGTCGAACAGTGAACTGCTCACCGAAGAGGCCAACGAGCTGATCCAGCATATGGTATCCCATGTCAATCACAACACCGCCTCCTGCAAGCCCCTTGCGAGCGCGCCAACCTTCCGCCAGTTCGGCGACATCGATGGTTTCCACAACCTGGACGGAGCTAATCTTTCCCAGCAGGGGAATCCATCCCTCCAGGGCATTGTATCTCCGGGAGAACCGCCGCTGACAGAGGACGCCAACTCTCACACCATGCGCGTCGGCCTGCCTCTTAAGCTCAACTGCTTCGCTGCTGTTACAGGCGACAGGCTTTTCCTTCAAGACGTTTGTTCCGGCCTCGAAGAGCCCGGGCAAGACGTTTTTGTATTCGTGATGGGGGACCGCAACGTAGGCTACTGTAGGTCGCTCGTTGACTTTGAGGAAGTCATTGACAGTAGGGTAGAGGGATAGCTTGTCGATGGGTGCCGTCTGCACAAATGGATCTACAGCACCGGTAATTTGTACCCATCCGTCCTTAACAAGCTTCAAAAGAGAAGGAATTGCTTTCTTCTTTGTTCGTTGGCCCAAGCCCACTATCAAGCAAGTCTGCTCGTCGTGCTTGCTGTTGGAGCCAGTCGACAAGCCGCTCGAACGGCGCAGTTCGCGAAATTGAAGGATTGGGGACATATTGATACCTCCGATGATGTAGAAGGCCACAAATGCTGCGCAGGCAATGCAATATCTAGCACGATGTAGATGATGGTTCGGATATAGGGGCAGCTTTATAGTGATGGAAAGGCTTACAGTAGAGGCAACATGGACAGCACGCAATCCACAACAGTTATGTTACACACAGTTTCCCGCAGATAGAAAGGTCCTATGGGGAGGAGCATGACACTGGAGTGCTGCTAAGCTATTCTGCTTTGGCTCCCAGCTCTATGCTTTCAGAAATGCTACGCATATCCCCGGATCCAGTTATCCTGACCCCTTCTCTTCCGGTACAGTTTGGACCACTGGAGTGGCCGGAGTGACCGAATGCAACCGTAGGCTCCTACCTTCACTCTGCTAGACCTTGTGACCGTCGTTGAGCTAAGCACAGTACAAGTGATGTATTGCAGTCACAATTCACTCCACAATCCGAGGTCGTTTAGCACCTCAGCTCTCACATATCACAGAGAATGTCGCAAGTCATGCCCCATATATCATCTGCTAAGTATACATCTATGTAACATTGTTCTATAAGCAAGCAGCGAGGTGAGACACCACGACAACTCGCCAATTGCATCATAGACATTGCGCACTTTCCGTGAGTTAATGGTTCAAAAAGCATTCTGAATGTAACATCGGAAATCGTCATGTAACTTCCGCTTTCCATCTACACTGCTCTGGATGTAGTAGACAATGATGCGCGTGAAATAGCATCAAGCCGTGCAGAGACCAATACATGGTGGGTTCCATACTCAGATGGCGGAGCATTCCGAGATTAGGAATGCACACTGGCTGGCTGAAGAGCTGGCATCAACCCTCGCGGCACCTACCGTGCCGTTAGCCTGCAGGACCACACAACGAGGCATTTATTCATGTTTGTTGAGATTCCACCATGTTAGACAACCCCTTGCTTGACGGCATATGTGACCGTTAGGGCCCTAAGCACCTTTACTGGACTATCGATAAACGCAAATATGTAGCACTCCCTGGAAGAGCTGAGTTTGGGGTGACACAAGGCCCCTTGCGTTTCAAGGGACTCGGACGCAGTTGGCACTTGACCCACAGGGGATGCATAGTGCTTTGAGGAAGAGGATCGAGGAATTGGGGCCCGGCCAAAGAGTACATGTCCGTTTTCGACATCGTGTATCACGGTACAACCATCCTCTGCTATCAACCAGCACAGTGCGAACGGACCTTCCCTCTCTGTACGATGCTACGTTTACTAGAATAGACTGTCGCCTCGATACAATCTAGCTTTACGTGTTCATTGTACGTTCTGTGAGACAGCAAGTAAGGGGCTGAATTTCGTGTGATACCTCAGTTTACTGTTGAAGTATGCCATTCTCTCACCATAGCCATTCTGGCCAGTTCTGTGGCCACGCTGTCGACACTCTGGAGGATGTCCTTCAGGCTGCGATTAGAAAGCAGTTGAAAGTATATTCCTTCACCGAGCATATTCCCCGAGATGAAGCCGACTTCTATCCTGAAGAGGTGGGACACCCGCTCTCTCTGTTTCGCATACACTGACGACCTTGACGGGGCATTAACAGATCGCGTCGTCAGAGACGCGAGCGACTCTTTTCAAGCTCTTCGACGACTACTACCATGAGGCCTGCCGATTGCGCGATAAGTATAAATCTCAGATCACCGTGTTGATAGGCTTCGAGATTGACTGGATCCGCCCATCCTCCCGAACCATCATCGCAGAGCTTCTCCAGTCGTATAGCTTCGACTTCTTCGTCGGCTCCATTCACCATGTCCACACCCATATTATCGACGGTTTAGCCTCCAATTATGAGAAGGCCACCATTGCCTCTGGCGGCTCTGAGGAGTTACTATACCGGGACTACTACGACGCACAGTTCGAGATGCTCGTTGAACTGAAGCCCACCGTCGTAGGGCATTTTGATGTGATTACACTCCGCAGTAAGGCACGGTCTGCGAACTTACATACGAAGAAGGACATCTGGGAACGTATCGTCCGGAATCTTCGGTACATCCATGAGTACGGTGGCGCGCTAGAAATCAATTCAGCCAGTCTCCGGAAGCAAATGAATACACCCTATCCACACCCTGATATCTGCAAGGTACAGTTCGTTGGGCATTTATGGGAGAAAGACCAATATGCTAAAATGATCTTAGGAGTTCCTCCGGATTGGCGGCCGATTTGTACTTTCTGATGACAGCCACGGGGTAAGCCAGGTTGCTTTGGATTACCCCAAAGTCCGCCGATTCCTTGAAAACACCGGGATCAAGACAATATATTATGTCAAGCCGAACGGGGATGCACCGCCCAAAGGCCTCTCTTCGTGTTGCTTGGAGCCGGTGGAGGTCGCTGCTCTCAGGGACCATCCATCCTGGGCGTGAAGGATAGTCGGGGCGAGGGCCATTTTCTTCTCAGGAACTATAGTATATTGAACTGGTTAATAGTTGCAGTTAAGGAATGGTCGTTCGTAGGATCTCCGTCATTGTCCGCCCAGCATTGCGAACTGTGTTAGTCGATGCTGTGTAAGTAGCCATAAGTGGTCCTACAGCTTGTTCGGACAACAACGTGTATACACGCATACACTAGCCCATTTGGGTTGATAAGCCTAATATCCTCGGCTTTGGATACAAAATGCGATTCAATCGAATTACGTGCGCATTTAATTTAGCTAGATGAGGGTCCCTTAGGCCTCAAAAGGGTAACATAACAAAGCAAATCTAAAGTATCACCTGCCAACAAACACTTCACTTGGTATTAGAACAAAAGCGACTTTATGATCATGGATAAACATTCCGAAGCCATCACCTTGACGTTAACGGAAGATATGAAGCCCCATGTGGTGTTTTCATGCTCTTTCTATGCTTTCCCTTCTTCCCCCCACGGGCTTAGGACAAGTGCCAACAATCTAAGCAGCCCGACAAAAGTTGAACGCATTCTGAACAACCTTTCTCATTTCCACTGTCATGTAAAGCGAGTCTGTCTGTCCTTCCTGGACCCACAGCCAGTCGGAGTGCTCATCGGGGTTGGGCTGGACCGTCACCCCCGGCTGGACAGTAACCACGTAATTGAGTTGGAAGTTCGATTTCGTCTTTGATTCCCATGTCATCGGTTCGATTTCGCCAATAATCTCTGACACAGTCAGAGAGGTCTCTTCCAAGACTTCTCGTGCGACAGCGTGCGCGACGGTCTCATCCGTCTGTTCGACATGGCCGCCTGGAAGTTCCCATGCGTTGGGGAAGGCTGTTTCATGGCTAGCTCGCTTGAGTAGCAAGAGGGATCGATTCTCCGACGTGGGATTCTGGAAGATGGCCGCGCCAATCACCCAGCGTTTGGAAGGGTCAAGGTCCTGGGGAGGAGAATGGAGGCGTTGTTCATCCATGGTGGTGGACGAGATGTGTATAGCTTTGAAGAAAAGTGGTTCAGGAACAATACGGGGAAACGGAAGGAGATGCCCAAGATGAGTTCAGGCCACAAAGGAACGGATTATATAACCACTAATATTTCCCTCCAGGGTTTGACGTAGCCGGAAAAGTCTGGTTCATTCCGTTGAAAATTCCTTAGGAGGTTCCACATCTACACCCTCAGTTACTACTCAGTATGATCCATTCCAATACCACAATACCCCACATATTATTTCCAAGTTCTATACCCTTGCCTTTTCTTCCCCCCTTTCCGCACGCAATCTCAAACCTCCCCAATCTCTTCTGGTGTCGTTCTTTGCCTCCTAGGTTCCTAGCAAGGCACAATGACCGCGAACGAGGACCTGGGCAATCCATCAGAGACATCACCTCTCCTCGCCGGCCAACAGCATCTGGACAATGCCCATCCGGATCCGTCCTTACCGTACGAGGGAAGCCTATGTCTGCCACCCGGGGGAGAGGCGGTCCCTTCTATGGAATGCAGGCTTCTTCTTACTAGGTCCGCTCCTCTGATCGTTACGTTCCTGCTCGAGTACTCGTTCACTGCGGCAAGTATTTTTGCGGTCGGGCATATTGGGAAAGTCGAGTTAGCAGCAACTGCGGTGGCCAGCCTGACGGCTAACATCACAGGGTATGCGATATACCAAGGGCTGGCGACCAGCCTGGACACGCTTTGCCCTTCTGCCTACGGTGCCGGTCGGAAGGATCTCGTTGGCCTTCATTGTCAACGCATGGTTTGCTTTCTGTGGTTCATGACTGTTCCGATTGCAATTGCATGGGTATGTGCGGATAGTATCCTAAAGGTCTTTGTACAGCCACAGATTGCGGAGATGGCAGGTGCATACCTGAGAGTCCTGGTCCTGGGTACTCCTGGATACGCTGCATTTGAGTGTGGGAAGAGATTCATGCTGGCCCAAGGCCTGTTCTCCGCGACTGTGTGGATTCTGCTCTTTTGCGCCCCGCTAAATGCGGTCTTAAACTATCTTTTTGTCTGGGTATGATCTTGCAAACCGTTCTTTGTCTCACTACGGTAGCCTCGCTAATATTGACTTATCCCACTAAAGGTCTTTAACTGGGGTTTTATCGGAGCCCCGATGGCCGTTGTCGTTGTAGAGACGCTGATGCCCACCCTCCTCGCCGTCTACGTTGCCTGTATTGCGGGATCTGAATGCTGGAATGGCTTCACACGCGCGGCCTTTCAAGATTGGTGGCCAATGGTCCGGCTCGCCCTGCCAGGGATGCTCATGGTGGAGGCAGAACTCATGGCATGGGAGCTCCTCACATTGGCCTCCAGTTTCATTTCCGTGGAACACCTGGCCGCGCAGTCTACGATCGCGACCTTGGGGGCAATCGCCTTCAACTTCCACTTTCCGATCTCCATCGTTGCTGCCACTCGAGTATCCACCTTGATCGGCGCGGGCCATGCAGATGCCGCTAAGGTGGCAGCAAGGGTATCAGGGCTCACTGCTCTCGTCTTCGGTCTTCTTGTGGCGATACTCCTGGGAGCTCTTCGGAACCAACTTCCAGAATTGTTCACAGGGAACCCAGATGTGATCCATCTTGTCAGTAAGGTTTTGCCGCTGGTGGGCATTTCTCAAGTCTTTGACTCGCTGGCCACTTCCTGCAATGGCCTCTTGCGAGGACTGGGAAAGCAAACCATTGGAGGTATTACCGCTCTGATTTGCTACTACGGGGTAAGTGAATCGTTCCACGGTTTCCAGCCTCAATCATGAGAAATTGTACTATACTAAACGCACACTACAGGTGGGAATTCCAATCTCCCTGGCTCTAGCCTTTCACTTTCATTGGGAGCTGCAGGGGCTGGCAGTGGGAACGGCATTGGCTTTGTTGCTGATTGCGCTTATCGAAGGCATATTTATGGCCAATGCTCGTTGGGAGGGCATTGTGGAGCAGGCAAACCGTCGGAATGCGGAATCTGCTTGAGATGGCTAGGTCCGGTATACAATAACGGACTCAGTTACGCCAGCGTGAAATTAAAAGAGTTTCTCATCCGCATTGCTGGGGTCGAGATCTACTCGGTCTTGCGCTGGGTTACTCTATACTCCATAATTCACTGGTATCTGGTGAGTCTCGGGGGTGGCATTTGCTAATACGCGTGAGTCGCTAATGTCCGCTTCTGTATCTAGATCACATACCACCAAGGTTAGGTCCGTCCAGTGGGACACAATGAACTGTTGGTGAAGTTGCTGTCTCCTACACTAGGTACCATGGCTTTGACTAGTTGTGTCCTTTCGGCCTCCTACTTCGGCCCGTAATACGGCTGTATATAAGACTACATGAATTCAAGAATAGATATAGCATTGGAAATTCGGAAGGTACCATGGTCTTGACCGGTGAACCTGCTTCAGACAGGTCTAAGCGTACATTTGTAAACTATACCGTGTTCCTCGTACAATGTGATAACGATAGAGAAAGGCTTCACGAGTCCATGTACAATGTAAGTGTCATTGGCCAATACAACATCAGAAAAGATGCTATGACGCTTACATTTTACATACAACCATGTTGCTCACAGTTAAATGGCATGGGTTGATTTCCAAAGATATGTGGGTCTACTGCTGCGGCCTACACTGCTCACTTTTCCGGATTCTGGCTGTGGATATTGTTCTAGGATTCCACATATGGGGCACGTAACCTACAAGTGTCATACATTGCTTTCCTCTTGAGTGTGATAACATGACGTATGAAATACCTTCCGCTTGGATCCGATATATCGTTACCAGCAACTATTAAATGAGCACAGTATACTCTGCAAACGGAATGAGGGCAAGACAGGTGACGTGTGTGACTTCGGATATACATGCCCCGCTCCCAGCAGCCTAGACGTATATATCATGGAAAGTCCAACAGATAGCCCCCCCCCCCCAAATTTCCTCTCCCTAAACACCCAGCCAAATACGTAGTCTCATTCTTGTCATTATGCGTCTCTTATTCAATCTTATCTTGCTCTTAAGCCTTGGGTTCCTCCAAGTCTTCGCTGTGGATCTCCCGGAAAAGCCCGACGTTAGTGATTTCTACCGCCCCGATCCAGACGACCACACCTGGCATACAGAAAAGCCAGGATATATCATAAAGTGTCGTGAGGTGAGCATAGCCTCGTTGCTGCTCGGCGTAAAAAGCAAAGCCAAGGCCTATCAATTGTTATACGTCACTCAAGACGTGTACGAAAAGCCAGCCTATGCGGTTACAACCATCGTGGTTCCTGTCCGACCAAACTTCAAGCGCATACTCTCCCTCCAAATTGCCTATGATTCACCAGACAACAACTGCTCCCCGTCATACGGGCTGCAGCATGGCGTAGTTGGTGCGGCCGCCACTTGGAGCCGAACGCAACTATACACCGTCCTCCCTTGGCTCCAACAAGGCCCTGTCATGAACATCCCAGACTACGAAGGCATGAATGCCGCCTTCACTGTCGGTCCCCAGAGTGCATACCACACACTGGACTCAATCCGTGCGGCCCTGGACTCCTACAACACCACCGGGATCAAACCCAACGCCCGAACAGTTATGTTCGGCTACTCCGGCGGCGCCTTCGCCTCAGAGTGGGCAGCCGAATACCACCAGGAGTACGCACCGGAGCTCAACATCGTCGGAGCAGTTCTCGGTGGCCCTCCCCCCAACATCTCCAGCACTTATGAGCATACTAATGGGGGGCCCAACTCGGAGCTGAATGTCTGGGCCATTCTGGGTGTGATGAACGCATACAAGAACATCAGCGATTTCATACACAAGGACCTCAAGTCGACCCACAAGGACGCTTTTCTCGATCCTCAGAAGCGCTGCAGTCGCTGTGAGCCACGTGAAACTGTCCCAGGGCCCCCCATAAGCAATGCCGATATCTCTAACTTTTTTACTAACCGAAACCATTTCCTCCATAAGTTCAAGGATACCCTAGACTACATTGGCGTCATGGGAAAGAGAAGCTATCCGAAGTTTCCTTTATACATCTACCAAGGCACGAACGATGATATTACTGCCCCCGTGTCCCATACGGATGACTTGGTGAAAGACTTTTGCAAGAACAATGTGAGAGTGACGTATCATCGGTATTTGGGTCTAGATCATTTTGAGACCTCGTCTGCTGGGATACAGCGTGCTTGGCTTTGGACGATGAATGCGTTCAATTGGTCCCCGATCTTCCCGCTGAGATGTACCACAGATAACATAACTCAAGAAGACGATAATGCCCTTGACGAGGTTTCTGGTGATGATGGGTGGGGAGATCTGCATGACGACTTGCGGTAAGGAAGCCTGATGTGGAATCAATCAGGAATACAGGATGCCATGGTACTTAGTAATCTACCACTGGAATCCAAGGTCTGAAAAGACAGATGGCAAGGTGTGAAAATTGTGGCCTCCTTGATGATCAGGGCATTAATCCTAATGGAGGTGGTGGCGAAGGGTGGAGCCTCAGTGGTAAACTTGGCTGACAGAATCATGTTGATACACGATAGCATGATTTTGGTTCAGGAATCTCCTCACGTCTTCCCACAGAGTAATCAGAGAGGACTTGCCCCTACGTAATAATCAAAATGGAATACAGTTAGTGCATATTCCATCGGTTTTGCTGCCGAGCGTAAGGGACTACCGATACGACTAGATCAACTATGAGCAGGCTACGACCGGTACATCTAGAGCCTAATTAATTAAGACTAAACAGTCTCCAGTTCTAACTCACTACTCAAGATCCCATGAACTTCAGGTTTCTATATGTCTTGAAAACTATGTCTGATGGTTCCTAGCTTTTGGCTAGATACGAACAGAAAGTTCAACATGAAGAGATCAAAGCAAATTGCGTAGCAAGAACCAAGTCACAACATTATGAAAAGTTGGCAACCGCTGGGAAAAGTTACTTGATAGGCCCAAATTTCGAACACATGGTAGAATGAAATAAAGCGTCAATGAACAAGATCGATTATAGCCTTGAACAAACACATAAGGTTGGCTCTTGCTTTAGACACCGATCTCCAGTGTGCTCCAGTCCGGCGTATCGATAATTCGAATCAATTCCCTTGTACCCGAAGCTGGGTTGTGCGACTAGATCTCCTTCATGCGCAAGCATGGCTTCTCTTTCTAGTTTTCAGTGACATAGGCGCTGGTATCAGTGGCCTTCGTATTGCGCTTCCAGACCCATGGACCGGCCCACACGCCGGCCTTGTCAACAGTTGCATCGGCTGAATTTTCGTCACGTTTCCAGACCCACGGGCCCGCCCAAACGCCGGCTTTGTCGACGGTGGCATCGCCGGTATTATCATCACGGCGTTCAATCCTCTTCGCACCAGGGATTTCTCGAGTAAAAGGTACTGCAAGTGATGATGCCACGAGAGAGATGGACGCTAGTGCTAGCGAGACTTTCATCTTGATACTTGTATCTCCGGTGAGGGCTTTTTAAGGTAGAAGGTTATAGGATATGAATAGTCGGAGAACAGAACGACAATGATGGTGATGATGCTGGCTCGGCTAAGTCATGGCAAGACGTACAGGCATTTAAATAGGGCAGACCACTTCAACCTGGACACTCTGAATTTCGAAAGAAGCATTGTAAATAAGAAATTCTTGGCACTGTAGTTATGATCAGATGCTCTATTAATGACCCCTTCATTCCATTGCTACATGGCTGGTCGAAGGTCACTGAGTGGCGGCATGTCAGGTCCATCATTGCCATTTGAGTCTGTATTCAAATGTCTTGTGGACTATACTAGTATGAACTTGCCATACCATACATATTACAGCCTTACCATAGCTTGAACACTATGTTTGATAGCTGTGGTGTCTACTAAGTAAGCTGTATTGTTGGGGAATCAGCAAGACTTGCTACACCTGAGACATAATCGTGACAGGGTCTCATAGGAGCCTCGCAAATTAAATCCGCAAATGAGGAATGCCGGAATATATCGAGCAGGTAGAATATCAGTTCCTCCTTGTGGCAAGTGCATGTACATGCTTGTTAATGAATCCCAACGCAAGGGATCTCCTCGGTTTGAGCCACTGACATAAATCCGAGATTCCATCTTGTTTGCTGCCAGCTACCCAGCATCAGTCCTGTTGTGGTCTACACTAGTCCAGAGTTCGACTGAATTTCAAAGTCCCAAATCTCTGACTGCTCCTGTGTAGATAGCCGAGTCTATTTAGGTTTCATGGGCTCACGTCTCCATTAGTGGAGATTACTGTCACTAAAAGCTAGAGTCTAACCATGTAAGATTCCTATGCGGCCGATAGACAGTACCTGGCTGCAAGGGTGATATCCCTTGCGGCGCGCACAGAGACGTCTGATAGGTGAGGCCGGAAGATCCACCCTCCATCTCCCACTGTTGTCAAGAGTAGCGGGAGTAATTATATATATATGCTCAGAATTGCTTTTACCGATGCGCCAACCCACGGACCACCATGATTCCCACGCAAAGGGATGGTAAAGGCAACCCTGAGGAGGACCCGTTCCTGATACAAGAGACGGATGCAGTGACTCTCTCCCAGCTAAACGCTCAACAACGAAGGTTGCATTATATTATACTAGGTCTGTTGACCGGCTTAGTGTTGATGACTGTGGTAGCGGTGGTAGCCTGGATCACCTCGTCGCCCCTGTTCCTTAGACCCCGACATCATTACTGTCAGCCTCCCGTCCCGTTGTCCGTACTCTATCTAATTGGCAGATATATGTAGCACCCGCTGAAGTAGCTGTCCGATACAAAGACACCATCTTCGCAGCTGGAGGTCTACAAGGAGCTGCAAGAACAAAGTACCAGGGGCCCCCGACAGATGAGTCAGACAAGGCATGGAAAGACCTCTACGACTGTAAGAACCCGAGTCCAGTTGATTGATAGGCTTAACACTGCATAGTTGGGATTAGCAAGATTCCTTTTTCGGAGGCAATCAAGCTATCCAATAAGACAGTCCCATTTTTCGAGTACCCTGGTGAATTCTACGTGCAGATAGACGTGTTTCACCAGCTTCATTGCTTGGTTGGTTTTTTTTTTCCTTTGTGATTTCTCTATAGAGCTAACTATAGTAGAACAGGATTAGACACTGGTTCTGGCACGCCGTGTCGCACGAGTTGAGTGTGGATAACCGCACCCATCATGAACCTGACGCGGCTGAAACAAAAAAGAACGCAATAGAGCATGTTGATCATTGTATTGATTCCATAAGGCAAAGCTTAATGTGCTCAGCGGATGTCACGGCACTTACAGGATTCTGGAATGAAGAACAGCAGCTTGTTAAGGCCAAGATGGATGTGATCCGCACTTGTCGGGATTTTGAGTCCATTCGGGATTGGGGGATGAAGCACCGTGCTCTGCAATGGAATCGGACGGTATATGTACCTAATCCACTGGATGGCTATTTTGACTAGGGTCATTCCGGTCCATAGTTAACAACGACTGGTCTATTAGCTATGCCAGTCAGCCGAAGACTCTCGATCAAGACCGGCTAATTCACAGCTTACGTTTCCCCTGAGTAACGCAAAGCAGAAGGACTTTTGACATTGGCTTGCCTCGTATGTGATTGTTCTCATTGGGAGAATAGTTTGTCGTCCCTTGTCCACAATTAGTCCTATAATAGTTTGAATATCCGTCTGCCCCCGCTGGTGTATGATGTGGTCGTCTACTCATGGTTGGTTGTGGAGGTTAGAGTGCCCGCCAACTAGAATATCTAGTTTCGCTCCAAATCTCTTTTGATGATTTAGAATCTTCCTCTAGATGATTTGGGTCACTTTTACCATATATCTCCGCCCATTATACGCTTTCTCGTGTGGTATATAAGCTACTATAACTATAATCCAGTGGCTTTGTTATTGAAATATATTAGTGGTTATGTCTGTTGAACCTGTGTCAATGTGTGGCACGTTGGTTCTTCTTCAACCAAATCCTGTTGCGTGTTCGATTTGTTTCCTCCTCGAGTTGTTATTTGGCATCGGGTAAGATAGCTTTCCCCATTCTGAAGAATAGCTCTGTTATTATAAATATGTCGTGTGTGGTGAGCAATATACTAGTTATTAAATTTAGTTGCATTTCCCGGGCTTTCCTTAGGTTAGTGGGAATTAGTTGAGACATTATTCGCTTCGGTACATCCCGACGCACTACAAGGAACTCATTCCCATGGGAGCCACCATCTTCTTCATGCCTATCTGAGGCTATCTGGAGCGCTGGAGCGCACTTGAGGCCCTCTTAGCGGCCGGAATCCCTGCCAACAGTATACATTAGTGTACCTGATGTAACAGCAGTTAACTGTCCACACGTTCCAGTGGTTGACAAACATTACCTTTTGCGTATAGTACCAAGAGTTGACAGGGTTCATAGACGAACCGCCATAGCAGTAGTCCATAAAAGTAACCATACATACACTAGGGATTGTTGCTAGAGTGGCCAGCGGCTTGGGGTGAGGGTTCAAAAGCTAAATCCCGACCCGCAGAAACCCTGCACTAGTCCTACATAGGTAATGCGCGGGTGACCAAGCGCATTCTTTTCCTATCATTTTCTCAGTACTTAGCCTATCTGGGCCTAGTGTAGGATCTAAGGTTAGGTAAATTCTGGTCTACTCCGTCTTCTTTGCCTAAGCTATTGGAAGTGTATTCTTACATAGCTGCGATGATGTGGGCCAACACCCCGCGAAACGCCGATGACCAGTCATTGAAGTCACTTAGAAATTTGCCCTCGTTGGCCTCTATGGCAGGTCACGTCGGGCTACGGTCGACAATGAGCAACCAATCGAACAGCGGACCGATTAACAGTAGACATCGGTTGATTTTCATTGCTTAGTAGTAAATCTAAAAATCCTTAAAAAGGAAATATATGTTAAGTGCCAGGACAAGTCTATCTTTAAAGTTCATAAAGGGCTTCTACAGTATATAAAAGACAAGGAGATTTTCACCTCTGAATGGAAATTAAGAAAAAGGGTGGGAAGTGAAATATGGTCAGCCAGGTAAGTATTGTACTAAACGGGAAAACCGGCGCCTGGGTCTTGTAATACTTGATTCCTTTACAGATTGCTGGACTATGTATATTTGTAAGAACACCGTCACCATCTATAGTACATGTACACCCTCCGTATGGAAGGCCCCTTTGTAGCTGGAACTTCCATCCTGGAAGCTTCCATGCGAACCAGTCAAACTAAACAACGTCTGAGAAATTTAACAATTACTTCATTCGTGCCATATTACTATTTCTAATCTTAAATTTACTACATAAACTACTACCGACCAAACAAAACTCGTAGCTAAAAAGAAACCTGGTATGATTATCCCCACATATGCATTTGCAAAATAGTATAGGGAAACCTGCTATATACTGGGAAAGCCTATACCAAGATAATATATACAAGTGTGTGTATATACCCCCAATAATACATAATCAGTAATAAGATCCTAGGAGGGTGAATCTTCGTGGCCAACTGTTGCTATAAGTCTTGTTAGTCTAATCCAAAGCCCTGCAGTGTCTATTGCTTACCATAAATTCATATTCCAACAGCACTACCTCCACCAGCACTGCCTCCAAGAGCAGTAGGAAGAAGAGTCTTAAGATACTTAACATAACCAGCAGCAAAAGCTTCTTTAAGTTGGGCAGCTCGTTCAGTAGTATTAAGAGCTTCAAACGCAGCATGAACAAGAGAAAGATCACCAGCAGCACCAGCTTGTTGAAATTGAGCAGCTTGTTCAGTAGCATTAGCAGCTTGGAATTTCTTAAGCCAATCAGCTTCCCAAGCTTCCCGCTGTTTATTCAAAGCTTTCCAAGCTTCAGCTTTGTTCAGTTTCATTAAATTAAGCAGGAACAGGACCAGGAGTCCAACCATCAGCCTTCAGAAACTCATCATGACCAGAAATTCCCGTATGACCACCTTGCTCAATAGGGGTACCTTCATTAATCTGTCTCTCTACCAGTCAGTCCCTCGCCCTCATGATTGACCGGTAAAGCCATATTGGCAGGGAGAATAAGGAGAAGAATATAAATAAAACGCATGATGGAACAGCAGCCTTTGCTAGAATAAGATAACAGGAGAAAGATTGCGCAAAAAAATAATAGAATATTTTGGCAGGGATAGAAAGATAGAAATTGAATCTCAAGTCCGTCATTAACTTGATCCCAGGGTGGTTTCTCTTACTTTTTTCGTCAATCCGCAGTTTATTTCCAGCATTACAGGAACCTGGACGAAGAATAAGACACGTCCTAGTAGCCATAATGGAATATAAAGTATGTAGTTGTTCGAACTTAACGTTCAAACTATCAAGGTAACTGAGAAGGTATATTGCCGCAATAAATGGTAACATCTGTCAGTCTATCTATCTATATATCCTTGAAGGTGTACACATCTCTCAAACACCCTCTCACCGGCCTGATCAAGTACCAAGTCAACCCACAAAAAGCTCTTGAGAACAGCCCTAGTATCCGCCCATGTTCTCAGACCAAGTGTGTCCATGGTTTGTATCACCAGCGCTCGCAACCATTTCTGATCCTGTTCTTCAAAGATTGATAAGCACGTTATAAACAAAGACCAGAGAACAAGACTGGCCTGTTCAACCAAAGGTGGGAACGTCTGCTCAAGAAAACTGGCTTTGAGCTTCTCTGCAAGGTAAGTCATCTTTCTGCCCACTCCAGGTATTTTGATCAGGAGAGGCTTCAGGAATGCAAGCATGGATAGCCTCAATAGTTCGTGCAAAGGGTGGACACATTGCAAAGAGAGCAGTCGGTATGGTGCCGACCTGCTGAGCTGTAAGAAAGATGTGGCCGCCAGTTTGACCCCCGTGGTCGTGGCTTTGTTGGCGAGTCTAGAAAATTCCCGTATATCGGCCCAAACGTTCAAGAGTCTTGGATCAGGCCGTGGATGTACCATTTTCAGCTCCGGAGAAAGGCTAGCCAGTCTACCATGAGCGATATGGGGGCCCCAGGACATATCTTCGACGAAGCGCAGCTTGCTACCAGTGCCAGCGGCGAGATAAAGATCTATCCTATACCGGATGTTGATGTCAGCAAGTATAATCTACCCCAACAAATCCAATGTATGCTACCACTCACGTTTTAGCTTTGTGTTCTATTGTCTCTCGGTCGATGAGTGAGTCCCAGCCCCCGCGCAATTCAATCATTCTCTGTAGCCCATCCATATGCTTTGCCGCTGATTCCAGGTCCCCTGCAATAATGCCTGCCAATGAAAGAAGTCCAACAACAGTCATGGTGGAACTTTTTGTGGCTTCTATCCTATCTCCCAGACTTTGCTGGAGATATTGGAGGGTCTTTGCTAGATGGAATCGTGTCACTGGTCCGTATGAGGCCCCCAGCGACATGTCGTGAAACGCCTGTGCGGCGAACATGATGGAGTGGACCATGGCAGGGCTTTGGGAGATATCTGCGAAACAAAGCATTTTGTCTGGATGACTATGGTCTGTGACGGTATCGAAAGCGTGCATTGCTGGTTTGATGACGGTCAACGCTAGGGACGTCAGAAATCAAGCTGTTCCCAAAGGCAGTAAATGGGCTCGATCGCTACCCTGGAAAAGGAGATTAAGCATGTAAGGCTTCATCTCAATCATGTAGTTGAAAAGAGACAGTTCCGAGGCTACCTTGCGAGGCGTCGTAAGCACCCATTCCTTCCCACCTGCAGAAGACCATGGTTCAGATGGCGTAACTACTGCCGCCGATCTCGACTCGGCCTCCCTGGCGCGTCTGATCTTACGGGTATTCTTCCCACGCATGACATGGCTGCGGATCAACTTCCGGGTCTGCCGGTCTGGCTTGTCGAGCGACGTGGTGATGATAAACTGGTGCATCTGTCAGGTAGCGTATATGATGGATAGCCTCAAGTCCAGCAGGGGCCCCACGAGACCTGCTCTCAATATAAGTCGCGTCTGACGTTTGCCAGCTGAGGAGGGGCAATGCATGCTGACAAACATTGCCAAGCTGATATTGTATTCCGTTCTAGGAATGGCCGCTGGCGAGCAGGATCAACCTTTACCCAATTAGGAAAACAATCCAGATGCTTGCAATAAAGTATATCAATAAATCTTCGAGGACGCTAGCTCAACGAGACCTGGACTCAAAGATGACCGTCATGCTTGGGCAAGGGAAGCTGGCATATAAATACTCTCGCGCCACACGTCTTGTGCCTCTTCTGTCAACCTGAGTTTCTCCTCTTCTTTTCCAAGCCCATACTCTGCGCAGACTTGAGACTATAATGCCTTCCAACTGCAGTGCTGCCACCTTCAACCCCGAAACCGACATTCCTCCACTGGATGGCAAAGTGATATTTGTTACGGGAGGCACCCATGGCCTGGGCAAACAGTCTGTTCTCGAGTTTGCTCGACACAATCCCCGCGAGATCTGGCTCGCAGCCCGTAACGTGGTCCAAGCCAGAATTGTCGCCAACGAGATCATACAAACTGTTCCCGGGGCGACTATTCACGTCCTCGAATTAGATCTCACCTCATTTTCATCAGTCGAGAAGGCAGCGAAGACATTCCTGTCGGCCTGTGACCGTCTGGACATCCTCATGCTCAACGCCGGCATCATGGCCGTGCCACCAGGAACTACCAACGAAGGCTACGAGATCCAGTTTGGCACCAACCACATGGGCCATGCGCTTCTGAGCAAGCTGTTGTTACCGATCCTCGACAAGACAATCAACACCGCCCCCGGCGCAGACGTCCGCATCGTCTCAGTTTCGTCGAAGGGGCACCGTTATCTTCCGCGGGGAGGCTTCCGCTTCGACTCGCTCACCACCACAGGGGATGACTTGGGCGCCTACGGACGGTACTATCAAAGCAAGCTGGCGAATGTGCTGTGGGTGAAACAGATGGCGGAACTGTACCCGCAATTTCGGGTTGCGGCTGTACACCCGGGCGTTGTACAGACCCAGCTGATGGATGGAGCGACAGCCTCTCCCACCGTGGTACAGGTGTTTGCGAAGGTCGCATACAGGCTGTTTAAACCAGTGCAGAAGGGGGTGTGGAACCAACTTTGGGCCTCTGTTGCACGGGACGTCCGTAGTGGAGAATACTATGAACCCGTCGGCGTGAGAGGCCGGGCCAGTGATGACGGCAAGGATAGGAAGCTGGCGCAGGAACTGTGGGAATGGACGGAGCATGAACTCAACAGGTACCTTGCTATGTCTGTTAAGTGAATAGTAGGCTTTGTCAATGGCTGGTTTCCTGTCTACGACTGATTGCATGTTTTGTGTTGTGAGGGTTCATATGCTGTTTTATTTTGAGCAATCTTCCAACACGGTGGTGCAGATGCAGAACTCCACAGTAGGGTAAATAATTAAGGTCTCCTACAGTTCTTAAATAATTATTCCGACGCTTTCTTTGTGGGGAGGGGGGTAATGGATGATGTCTATCCTCATAACAGGATCCACTACCGTTGATATGAACAAGTATCTAGCCAAGTATGTACCTCTGAGCGATGCTCCGCAGAAATTACTTATATAGCCTGGGTAATTAATACATGATTGTTGAACTTGAATGCTGTCTGTATTAGATATGGTTTTTTTTAGATATTCCTGGCCACACGCAAGATTATCATGCTCTAGTAATGAGACATCATCTCACAGCTTATCTATAGTCTTGTATAGTATCAACAATTTTGGCAGACCCCCTATAATATTCTGTGGTGACACGTTCTGTTATATATCGAGACATAGTGTCGGGACATGCTCCTCCGTATTGTCTCGTAGAACTTCCAATAACAATAAATTCAAGCATAGTAGAAAGATCGTTAGCCGCGTTGTCTGTACGCTCTTTGAATTATTTATAACACCTATCCTCTAAAGACCTGGAAAAAGCAGCCGCGATAAGATAAGATATAGTTATTACACGGCTTTCCACCGACACACTAGGACTATTCAGTATTTCTCCAAATATATTATTAGATTAATAATTATCCTTTACCTCCTTTTACGGTATATAATGTAAGCCCGGCTCGTATACTTTCGGTTCTTATTTAATGGTAACTGAACACTGAGCAGATTAGGGCTACTCCGGACCATGTATATCTTTGTCAACCAGTACCAAAGGGAAAATAACGTACTCCGTATGGCATGAGGCGTTTGTGGCGAGCTGAACCTGGGCCACAATAGAATTAGCAAGTTTTGTGGCCCGCCAGGTAGTGGACCTGATGGACAGGGCAACGGCTTTCATAACTGGCTGTTCTGGGATTCCATTTGTTGGCTAGTATTTCAAGTGGTTCTGCTTAGGTAGAGTGGGTCTCGACCTGAAGACGACCATGTGGCAGGGCAATAATATGTACTAGTACTCCGTGATGCTTGGAAAAAGCTGCAGCCTGCCAGGCTTGGCATTTATGAGCCCAAAGTTTTCGACAGCGCTTCGGCAATAATGACTACAGATATTGCTTAAGTAGTCTTCATCTATTAACGAATGTAATTCCAGATAAAGGCACCCATAGTACTCCGGAGTAAGGTACACAAAAACACAATTGCATAGGTCTATGACTCAAAGCGAATGAAAGCCTTGACTAAAATGATCGACCCGCATCGGTGTCTCCGAATGTCTGGCTTTTGCCGATGTAACCCTCTCATATTTAGCATTAGAATCAAGAAAAAGTTCAAGCATCAGAGTATTCGACCTTCCTAATAGGGCCAACGTTGAAAAATTTCAGTTCCATAATGCTTGGCGGCTAAACCTGTACCATGGTTTCATATCAACCCCATATCCAGGAGCCCCTTTGCGGGCGAGAACCCCCATTATCTAGTTTACTTATGTCTGGACTCTGTCTCTTTACAGTACCTGGCTTTCGACTAGGCAACATTCGGAGCTTTATGTTATCAATGTCCTGACGCCAGTGAGTATGAAGAGCTTCCCGGGCATAGCTCTTCTGTTCGGCCTGCCCTTCTGTCTTGCCAAGACCGAACCAAAGTCGGAGCCTGCCTCTGTGGATGCGGATGTCGATTGGTATGTTTTTCTTTAGCAAGTAAACATCCCCTTTCCCGTGCTAGTTTACTAATTACTGGCCTATGCAGGTATGGGAATGATGGAACTTGGAGTGCGTAAGTTACCCTACTTCTGACATTCTAACCCCCACCACTCACAGATAACTAGTGTGAACATCTGGGTCGGATCACAATTGAAAACAGTCTCTCTTTTCCCAAGTACCGTGGATAAAAAGACATGGATCGTTGGAGGAAGTGGCTGCGAGAACTGTATGTGATTCGTCCTTTCCTAGCAGGCATATTCTGCTGCATCTTCAAGCATTACCGATTGTCAACTGATGGAAAAGCTAGCTTCACTAGCGGACTGCTCCAAAAGGCGAGGTGGGCTTTTTAATACCAGCGAGTCGACTACATGGAAACGTCAAAGTTCAGGTCCCGGTTCGAGGGATCCTACAACCGAAACATACGATGGGAATGAGACTATTTATGTGGATTTTCGACCGGCCACCGAACAGACGATTGGAATTATAAATGATACAGACACATGGATCGGGTTGCTAGGACTGGGCATACACCAAAGTGACCATATGGACAATTTTTGCGTAAATGTCATGGAAACCGCATTTATAAATGACAGCTTTGCTCCCAGTGGTAGCTATGGCTACACTGCTGGGGCTCACTACCGTACGCCACACATCTCATACCGTCCATGAGGCATTCGCTGATATACATACGCAGGGCTGAAAGGTACACCAGCATCTCTAACTATTGGGGGTGTGGATCGAGCGCGCTTCTACGACAATAAGGCGGCATTCCACCTCAACCGAAACGGAGTTCCGGTTGTCTCACTTAATACCATATCGATTTCATCTGGAATGGTGGACGATGATGCAACTCATATAGACGATCATATAATCCCATCACATCCCGGAGGTAGCACCTATTTCACACTCGACTCCTCGACGAGTTACCTTTGGCTGCCCAGCGACGCCTTTGATGCCTTTGGCGCCGCCCTCAACCTGACCTATGACGATAGCTTAGGCTTTTATACTTACGGGAATGATACATCACTCCGCGAACGACTCCTTGCCATGAACATTTCAATCACACTTTCAATCTCCGACCTCCCAGACTCTTCGCAAAGCGTCAATATAACCATGCCCTTCCAGGCCTTCGACCACTCCCTCACCTATCCATATCCAAATCTCCCTTCCAAATACTCCGATACCCCACTCCCCTACCTCCCGGTCAGACGAGCCAATACGAACGATGAACAGCGTATGGGCCGAGTTTTCTTCCAAGAAGCATATCTAGCTGTCGATTACGAAAGGCAACACTTTTCACTGTACCAAGCCAAATTCGGCACCAACCTAGTGTCATCCGATTCCGATACAGATATCGTCCCCATCGACTCCTATTTGGACACGAAATACGAAGACTTACTATCCGATAAGTCCGGACTATCGACGGCAGCAAAAGCCGGAATAGGAGTTGGCACTGGAACTGGAGCCATTGTGATCATTGCAGGCGCATACATATTCATAAGGAAGCGCCGGACTGTGAGCTCCGAAAAAGGCCTTCAACTGTCGGACAACGGCAGCAATTCGGACTCTGAGTGTCACAGTACACCAAGAGAGCTTGATGGTACTCGGGAGCGCCACCCTGAATTACCTTCGGACTCTTCTTGTGCTATATATGAGCTTCCGGGGTCTGGGATAGCGGAACTAGAGGCTGGGCCGTCTTCCTTAGGAGGTAGGAATTGTGCTCCTACAAGAGATGAGAAAAGACATTGTTCTCGACATTCGGAAACAAGATCGAGTATTGCTGCTTCGTTGGCCTCGAGGATGACTACGGAGAGCTCTGATGATGAAGATAACGTGCCATCGCAGAAGGGTCACCGTGCGAGCTCTGATCCGAGCCCACCTAAATATACACCATGACATACATCCACACGTCTAAAGATGTGGAATATATAGATTAGATTAATACTGAAACGTTTCATGACCGAAAGGAATACAGCAAGTTAGCATAGCCTTGATTGAGAAAAGTCAAGGTCGTACAGCCTTTCAAGAGAGTTGATATTGCAAAGATGCTGTCCCATGTAGTTAGGAAAGATGTAATTCGACAACGCCAGGACTATGGCCTTTATATGTACTCGAGTGGAAAGTCCTATCCACCTGCACTCGACCTGGCCCCGGAGTCAACTTCCGAGGTACAGCAGGAATCTGGATGTTTTAGTTGAATACTTGAGTCATGACTTGTCCAACTTAATCTTTGCTACTGACTTGGTCTTGACCCCTGGCAGAAGTCCCATACCCATCTCTTGATTGACATCGAGATAAGTTAAGGTTCATAGTAATTATTATCTAGCTACGTTGCCTTCAACCAACAAGTACCATAGCCAAATTGTAAGCCCATTTGTAGGAAGAAATTGGAATGAAGGAAGTCCGATGACTAAACTAAATAGTATTGCTTTCGAAACTTAAACCATTCCGTCCATTTTAAAAATTATTGGACCAGTTGATCTGGTCATCCATAGCTTGCGACTGCCTAGCTTCGGAACATAATTTCGTAGCATGTCAAATGAGAATAGTTGAAACCTTTCAATTCAAGATAGTTCACCAGTGGAATCCCGACCCCGGCACCACTACCTGGACAATAGTTGACTTAGATTATTGTCAGCGTTTGATACCGGGACAAATCCTAGTGACAAAGAGCTCGCATAGGGAATTTATTGTGTGCACGAGCAGAAGACCTATCTCCTAGGGTCTGGAATTTGATCCCTCCAGTGCCAGGCGTCCGTCGACGAGTAGTGATCTCTGTGCGATGCGTTCAGGGGCGAAGACTTCGTCCAAGCAAAGAGTGACACAGATTCCCAGCTTATCAAGCAATTCATTCTTGGCTTTCTGAAACGCAGCATCTGAGCCCTGCAGGATTAACTTCAAGTTTCCCCCGTACGCGTTCGACAGTGTAGGGATTTTCTCCTCAACGGCAGAGCGAAAGTCGAATAGTTCCATCCACCAAATAACCATGCAACGATCGTTGAGCTGTAAACAGCTTCGAGGAATCTCTTCACGGTGGTAGCCTAGATTGGCCTCTCGATGAATCCTGCCAAGCCTGTGCTTTTTGAACTCGCTCCAGGTATAGAGACACTCGGAGAATCCATACTGTGCTCCAGACGGGTCGATTACCCATATTTCTCCGTTGTTCAGTGTGGCCCGGTAGACATGGTGGTTATTGGTGTGGGTAAAGGGAATGCCGTCGGGATCCTCGATAGAGATTTCCTTATTGAGGAGTTCAATTGTAAGTTCCTCAACCCTAGAACAGAGATCTATGCAGTCAGCAGAGCCCTTGGATACTCGAGGGATGGCCGGAGGAGGGCTGGTCTACTTGACAAGATGTCTCGAACAAAGACATAGAGAAACATTATCGCTTCTGTACACGAGCCCATCATAACAATGGCATCGAACGCACGCTGATCACCACCCTTTAACTCAATAGATGGCGACCCCAGAGGTCGATAAGCCTTTGGCATGGCTTTCTTGAGGGGGCGCAGTATCACTCTAGAACCGTCCATATGTCCAATTGCGGATTGGATTGTATGAGCGTGCAGGCGGATTCGATACAGTATCGCTTGAAACAAGGTGGCAGCCCTTGAAAGGGATTTGCGGGCCTGTAGCTGCTTGCAGTTGGTCTTGTGTTCGCCCCAGTCCTGCGTCTGACAGTCTGAGCTGCAGTACAATGTAGGCTCTGGGATCGCCTCGTCGTATTGTCGAACTCCAAGACATCCACTGCATCTTTTGGTCGCTAGGCTGTGGCAATGGGCACAGCTTCCTGCAGAAGACGGTGGATTCTCCATTTTTTGAGTGTATGGTGGTTTGGGAATATCTCTGGGGGTGGGGGAGATGGCTATTGTTCTAGAGAGAAAGTTGTGTTCTTGATTGACCTGCCTTGTTTGTTGTTGTCTGGTCTGTTGCTGTTCAACAGATGTCATTCTGGTATATTCACTCTTCCAGAGTCAGCCATCACCCTGTTAGTGAATAAAGTAAGCACATTCTTACCTTCGCAGGTCACAATAAGTGAATTGATGTAAATATCCGTTTACCCTGGTTTAGTATTTACTAAGTACTATGTTCGGTCCCATGATGTCCATAGAGCCTACCATAAGCAACCCATATTTGACAAAACTTCTGTCTGGTCAACTTGAAATTCTCAAAATGCCAGCCAAAATAGGGTCAGGTATTAAGTTGATTGAGCGTAATTCTGGAGTTCTGGATATCTTCACTATTCTACCTTCTGCACATAGCAGGAAACGCTTCCATGATTTGATCGATACCTTTGACGCAATCATAACCACAGAGACTAAACCGTAACCTTTCTGTTTCACTCCAAATCAAAATATCGGCCTTGCTTAGTCCTTCCTCAATCGAAGAAGTGCCAGTATAGCAGATGCTTCACATTGGCTCTGGCCTGCTTTATATCGATCTATCCAGGGAGGGGGATAGATGTATATCACTATCCTCTTTGGTGTAGGGCTCAAGGGTAACAGTCCCCATGAAGGCTTCTGATTATAGTATAATGAATGGCATTCAGCAAGCCTCATGCATGCGGCTACAGCAAAAGAGAAGGCGACATCAACCCTGTCTCTATATGTAGTAGGGCACATACAGAGAATACGAGAAACAGTGCGGGGATTTCTAATAATACGATACAGCCACAGTAAACATTTCCAGGTTAAGTAATACTGTTAGACTCCAGCCTGAGAGAAAATACGAGACAAGGCTGAGAAGGCACAGCCACAGTCGCCCCGCTACAACGATCACATACCGCTCCATATCATCATCCTCTTTATATTTTTCTTCGTTCAAGTATTTTTTTCTAGTTAAACCACTAATAGATGGTTCTAGCTATTTACTTGATGATCAGAATATGGGCTCTTTCAAATACGAGCCCCTCGATCTAGGCGGGCCAACCTTTCGTCTCGTCCGCCTTTGCCATGGGGACGGCCCTGATATCGACTGCGAACTCTTCCAAGCGTGGCTGTATCCAGAGCAGAGTGCTATCTCATACGAAGCTCTTTCGTATACGTGGGGCACCACCGAAATCGTGGAGAGCGTACGAATGAATGGAAAAACACTAGGTATTACGCTGAGCTTATACCTCGTCCTCCAGCATCTTCGCCTCCGAGATGAGGACCGGATTCTATGGGTGGATGGTATTTGCATCGACCAGGGCAACGACAAAGAGCGTGGACATCAGGTTCGACACATGGGCGACATATACAAGCAGGCCGAAAGAGTCATATTTTGGCTGGGTCAGCCAACCTACGAGACGAACGTGATTCTAGATTCGCTACACCAGCTCCAGAAGGAAAGTACTAGGCATGCGTGCAGAACTTGGGAACTGGCGGACCCGCGCTGGGTAGAGCTCTGGTCAACGGTACAGCCTGGCCTTGTGGACAAATATCCAGACCTTCGATCGCGACAGCGCCAGGGTCTGGAGGACCTTCTGAACAGGCCCTGGTTTAGAAGGGTTTGGATTCTGCAAGAGGTTGCCAATGCAAGAGCTGGCATAGTGTGTTGTGGACAAAAGTCTGTTTCGGCTCACATCTTTCCCCTCGCCCCTCTATTCATAGACATAATCCCGAATGCACAAACTCAAGCGGTCCTGGATATAATGCCTGGACCATCAAGGACCGGTACATGGTGGAATATGAATCAAGATCTTTATACCATTCTACGAAAGTTTCGTGCAAGCGAAGCACGTCTTCCCTGTGACATGGTGTTTGCCTTGCTAGGACTATCCTCGGATGCACAGGACGCAGAAATGCTTAGACCCGATTATGAGAAAAGTGAAGATGAAATTATCCATGATGTTGTCCGATTTCTGTTTGATGACTACATATATCGCACTCAGCGATCATATTTTCCCTACTTGCGGAATTTGCTACGGAACCTGGAGTTGCTCAACAGATTGTTTCTGCAACACTATATGGAATTGGCAAACCTACAGGACTTGGAGAATGTTCTCAAATGGCGCCAGTTTGGCATTTCAGAAACCGACATTGCAGACGCCGCACGCGCAGTCAAGATAGCCGTGACCAACTTTGGCGGACTCAGTGTTGGAATGACTGACATAGCGACACCATCAGTCCTAAAGAACCTAGAGGATATTCTCAAACAGGGGCATCTGGGTAGTGCACAGACGAACATTCCATTTGCCGAATATGCGGAAAAGGCCATGGCCAAGGCCTTAAAAGACAGTGATGGATCGATTGAAGCAGAAGAGGAAGAAAAAGAAGAAAAAGTGTGTATGAATTCAATTTGTGCTTGGAACCATCTGAACACACTAGAGCACCTTCTCCAGGATCGGGGCTACAAGACCGAGATTACAAAGGAATTAATTATTAGAATAATATCGGCCAGCCACTCTAAACCAGGAACCATCATTTTCCTTCTTAAGCAACGAGGCAATGAGATTAATATCACGAATGCAGTGCTCATCGCTTTGTTAAGGACTCATCTCACTGCCAAAAAAACTGAAAAGATTCATACTTGGAAACAAGAAAGTTACAATGAACGCACAGAGGGGATCCTTGGATTACTTCTATCGGAAAGATGCTACGTACTTGAACTCTTACATATTCTTCTCCGGCAACAAGGCAACAAGATACAAATCACAGAAGAAATCCTCTGCGCAGCGGTATCAAATACATGCTGTGGACCAGAACTCATAAAGCTTCTTCTCCGGGAACGGGCCAAGGAAATACATATTACAGAGGGAGTCCTTCGTGCAACAGCATCAAATAGTCGCTATGGACCACAGGTCATGGAGGTACTTTTCGAACAAAGAGGCAACGAAATCAAGGTCACAGATCCCATGCTCATAGCCGCAGAAGGGGTAATACTCCAACCCCGTGCGAGAGCCAATGAGTTAATGGAACAATATCTTAAACGACACCCCAGCAGGAACTAGATTGCGAGTATATTAATTGAAAGCGCAGGATGGACCCCACGTGACGTATCCCTACTATTGTACCAATTTTCTGTGAACCGGACGCATCGCTGTGGATCTGGTATTGTATTAGAATGGGAGTAATAAATTTACCATCTATCCTTCTAGTTTCTGGGCTACGGACTGATTGTCAAAATGTATTTGATGTACGTCGTGGCGAGGGATCCTTGGGTAGTTCAAGTTTAGGGAAAGGGGAATTGCATAATCTATTTCCATGATCCGGATAGAAGCATAAAGACCTAAATCACTTACTATACACTTGTGAGGCAATATATGTACGATCAATAGAATCGTTGAGAAAGACAGCAACAAGCCGCAGTAGTTCAATTTGTACCTTTGGTAGGATAAGGGAGTCTAAGAGAGGCACGTACTGTCTTATAAGGTAGAATTGAGATATATGTAGAAGCATGGAGGCTTCGATCTAATACTACGATATATTGATGTAAATAGAGGTGGAACTTGTCAGTGGCTATTCGCTAATACCAAATCTCATAATGTTGATGTATAGAACTATGTAGAGCGATATTCCACGGCTAGGTAACATCAGGTCCACTCATGACCTTTAAATTAACATGGATTGGCCTCTAGCCTAGTTGGTATGTGGCAGTCTTTGTCACTGTATATGGACGATTCGCTCGAGGCCGATGACAAAGGCTAGGGCTTTTTTCGAGAGAAGTGGTCAGGCTAGCTCACTGTCTGATAATTCTACTCGACATTTCGCTCTGTACAAGAATCTAGATGCTGCAACAAACTTAGATCAAAATGCAAGTTGCGTTCGGGTGATTCTCCGGGTGGAGGCCCCGACCCGTTCCCTATTTTGACGATCTACATCGGCATGTGGAGGGAATTGATCGGTAAGGAAATGCTTATATGTGAATAAAGTATCCCATCCTTATCCGTATCCATCTATCGTTACCACTCCGTTTATGCGAATATTACTGATTATCCTCAATATGCCTCTACTCCGCGTCTCCTTACTCGCCAGCACGCTTCTCGGCCTTACCTGTGCCGCCTATCTCCAAGGACGTCATCCAACTTCCACAAACGAGGACAACCAATACACTCTGCAAAATAAACGACAAGCCATCCTCTGGGACTTCTCCCACATCTTTTACACAGAAAAGAATGTCGCGAAAGCTTTCAACAAATACGTGACTGAAAACTACACCCAACATAACCCGAACATCTTGGATGGAAGACAAGCTGCGATTGAAGCTTTAACCCCATTATTCTCGACGGAGGGTATGGTCTTTGAAATACACCAGGCCTTTGTGGGCGGCGACTATGGACTTGTTCATGTCAAGGCTGTTACACCGGGACAGAATGATACGGCGGTCATGGATATGTATCGCTTCGATGGGTTGGAGATTGTGGAACACTGGGATGTACTGCAGACTATGATTCCTGGAGTCAATCCTCACCCCTTTTTTTAATTGACAGTGGCTGAGACTTTTCTTTGTGGTTTGGCCCTGAGGTTTCTGGGCATGTCGAATACTCGGGATAACGCTGGGGGTAGAGGATTTTGAGGTTAGGAATATAGCTACAGAATGAAACAGAGCTTGTCTGTGCCATGTCTAGATGTGGGGATAATGCCATTATTCACTTTACCATAGAGTAGGTAGTGAGTGAGTCACTTTGCCTCCTTGGCACTTTCAAGATACACAAGTGTTCAAGCGGGATCAACCTAACAATTTGCGCGCATTCCTGGGTAAACTCTAATTTATCACAGGGACAAGAAAGCGCTTTCAATACAGGTGTCCCTCACAGGCATATCGCTATTCTCTAGACTCCAGGACTGGTCGCAAACTTTGGATACATATTTCTAGTCCCTGCACGTGTACCGTGTTAGGGCTACCCATGGTCACGCTGATCTACTTTAACAGCCCTCGTGAATACTTTATTACGACCTCAGTCTGTACAATCACCACCGAAATCTTGCGCAAGTGCACCATAGAGATCTCTTTGTGTCATTTTTCGAGTTGTATTCTTTTCATTACTGCATCCGAAATTCCAAGACCAAATAAGCTTTCGCATAAAACGAGTAGTGCTGTACCGGGTGAAATTATAGCATCTTCCTTCTAGTCCACTCACTGGACATAACGATTATTAGCTGTGGATTTAACTGTCCATCTAGTTCAGCTCCGGTGTTGACTCGGGACTCAAATCGAGCTGATTACCTTTAGCACCTGGTACCTACTCTCACTCATAACCTCAACTGAAATATGACTAGTCAAGTGAGTTGGACAGTCAGAGCACTACCAATCCCTTATAGTTGATGGCATTCGATCCTATCCAAAGTAATCATATTATATGTTAGTAGGGGCTTCCGTCTGGCGGCCTGGAGGCCCGGAAGTACAGGTTCTTCCGGGCCGCTAAGCGGGCCCACAACACCTAGCTAGGGAGATAGAAAGCTTAGATAGGTGAGAATAAGAATTCAAGAATGAATACGAAAAGTCCTCCCACCTAGGCATTAATATTATATGATAGCTGTTCGTGTATTAGGATAGAGTTGCTTCGAAAAAGGACTAACATACCCCACGCACAAAAGTTCAAACTACACCGCTGTCTGGGCGCTTGCAGGTGCTTGACACCGGGGTGGGCGTGATTGGGGAATGCTATATTGATGGCGTGCTGCATGCGAAATATATGTTCCAAGTCTCACATAGCAACACTAACATACACATAGTCTGGGGATTAGCAACCAAGGCATCTGTCTAGTCGTACAATATCTACCGCTCTATATAACAAAATAATCTACACAGCCATAAGGGAGCACCCATAATGCACACCAAATCCGAAGGCCTTATCCTTTTCGCATAACCCCAATCCCGAGTTGGTAACATTTGGAGACAACGTCTATCGGAATTGCTATTAACTTTTCGAAGCGGGTAGTACGTTGAGAAGAGAATATAGTGGTTTCAGGTATTGGATCTGATTGCGGCTTTGGAACCGGGTATTGCTCTTTTCCAAGCTATATAAGAGTGTCCCTGGCTGGGGGACTATCCTTACTTGCAGCTACAAGGGAACATCTTGTGGGATTCGAGGAATGGTTACAAACGGTAGAGGGTTCTGATTTTAAAGAATTGAACTGAGGAAGGTTAAGAAAGAAAAATGATCTAAGGAACATATTGTCATAGAGTCAGGCATATCTTTCGGGGAAGGCAGAATACTTATAGAATGCAGAAATCATGAAGATGAGGCTATACAAGTGGAGGGGGGCCTGACTGCTGAATCGGCCCCTAGGCGTGCAGTATCAAGGTGTTCGGGCTGTAAGATTCAGGGTAGAATTGCCAACTACGAATCGATCAATCACTACCTCCACATTCCAAAAGCCCTCGCCAGAGTTGGCATTAAGGAAGAGAGAAATCTAGGAATGAATCTCGAGACAATGGATGCTCTGAGTGTGCTTCATTAAACGTTGTAATTAGCGAAGAGTGCTCGTCAAATTGGGGTGGATAGCCACTCCTGGGATCTAGAACTCACATTCTATTGGATTAAAGCCCCCAGTAGAGCTCATGGATGTTATTCTGGAGAAGTGCCAAGCAAGTCGTCATTTCCGTCGTCGGGCATGTCGTCTACCTCTGCAAATCCAGGTTGTTTGTGGGGAATAAGCCGTACATTGCGGGGCCCCACTCAAGCACCAGCTTCGTAAAAATATGAAGCCATTTGTGGGCTGGCCATGTAGAATATGGCACAGCCACCAGATATATTGCATCATTACTCTCTAGTCTCGGTCTTAGCCTTCACCCTGATCCCGACACTATAAACGTTGAAATATCCCGATGTGGTAGGCATGCCACAATGCCGTCGGCATTGGCCGTCTAGGAAAGAAAAAGCGCTCTTCAGCTGTGGAGCACGTCCGGAGGAAACTAAGCGCCCATTGGTCTTCCTGATTCATTAAACTAATAGCCTCCTCCGCATGCAGCACCGACCAACCAGAGAACTGGGGGAAGACCCAACCCGGACATTTACCGGGGGAGCTAGACAAGGAACGCAAGGATCGTCGCCAGGTTTTGTGGAGTAGAGTTGGCCGGGTTGCATGGTTCTCGGGCATTTGCCGGAGAATCAAACCAAGGATCGCTGTTTTGGCCGACTGAGCTTCCGGGAATTCGGATCGCTCGATTGTTTTCTTCCAGGCGCGAAGGCCATAGCTGCACATACTGTAGACTCTCGGGTGCCGAGTAACGCCCGGGACACTCGCCAAGGACCCTGGTGGATCCATCGGTGGACACAAGAGCGTGAGAAATAGCTGGAGAATTCATGTAGCGTTGTTTGCCCATTTCCGGAAGCCAAGACCCCAGTCTTGGCAAAGAGCTGAATGAAGTTATATAAGGCCAGAAGTAGGTCACCTCTTCGCTCTATCCCCAGGCTTCATTCAGCATGTATCTTAAGAGGCTGCTCACTTCGGCTGCAGCCCTGAGCGGCTCCGTCTTTGCCCAGAGCAAGGATGGGGTGGAGGCGCTCGATGGCCCCGGCAATGACCTATACGTCAAGGACCTTTCTGGATGCCCGGGATACAAGGCCACAAAGCACTGGCAGACTCGGTCTGGCTTTTATGCAGACTTGACCCTCGCTGGGCCGGCATGCAATGTCTTCGGAACTGATCTCCCAGACTTGAAGCTTGAAGTCGAGTATCAGACTAGCGATCGTCTCCACGTCAAGATCTTGGACACCAACAACACGGTCTATCAAGTTCCAGACAGTGTTTTCCCGCGCCCTGGGTTCGGTGAATGGTGTTCTCCGAAGGACAGCAAGCTCAAATTCGACTTCCAAGCCGACCCATTCTCGTTCACCGTGTCTCGGACGGATACCGGCGAAGTGCTCTTCGATACCACCGGCAACAAGCTGGTATTCGAGAGCCAATATGTGTACCTGAAGACACACCTGCCGCAGAACCCACATCTGTACGGACTGGGCGAGCACAGCGATGCCTTCATGCTCAACACGACCAACTACACCCGGACCATCTACACCCGTGATTCTTACGGAACGCCTCAGGGCGAGAACTTGTACGGCGCTCATCCCATCTACTTTGACCACAGGCACACTGGTACTCACGGAGTGTTCCTACTCAACTCCAACGGTATGGATATTTTCATCGACAACAACGCCACCCAGTTCCTTGAGTACAACATCATCGGTGGTGTTCTCGATTTCTACTTCATTGCTGGACCCTCCCCACGTGACGTGGCCATCCAGTACGCTGAAATCACCCAGACCCCATTGATGACTCCTTACTGGGGACTGGGTTATCACCAGTGCAAATACGGCTATCAGGACGTCTACGAGGTTGCCGCTGTTGTCGCCAACTACTCAACCAACAACATTCCCCTCGAAACAATCTGGACTGATATTGACTACATGGACCGTCGCCGCATCTTCACGATTGATCCAGAACGGTTCCCGGCTGATCTGTATAAAGATCTTGTGGACACAGTCCATGCAAGGGACCAGCGTTACATGGTCATGGTCGATCCTGCCGTGTACTACAAGGAGTCTAACCCGGCGCTCGATGAAGGTCTCAAATATGACATCTTCATGAAGGAGACCAACGGCACTGAATATCAGGGTGTCGTTTGGGCTGGTCCCAGTTACTTCCCGGACTGGTTCCACCCTGAGTCCCAGCAGTACTGGACTGAGCAGTTCCTGACGTTCTTCGACGGGACCAATGGTCCTGATATTGATGCTTTGTGGATCGACATGAATGAGCCCGCAAACTTCTACAACCGCCCGTACCCAGGCAACAACACCACCCCCGAGAATTTCGCCGAAGTGGACGGTGACCCTCCCGCTGCACCACCAGTTAGAGACGGCCCGGATGCTCCTATCCCTGGCTTCCCAGCCAGCCTTCAGCCAAACTGGGTTAGCGACGACGCGACCGAAAAGCCCGCAACTCCTGCTGTTGTCAAACGTGAACGCTCGCGATCCCGCCGCAACCTCGGTGCTGGCCACTGGCGGTCTGCCAAGGGTAAATTCGACTCGCGCGCTGGCTGGCAACACGGCAAACAGACCGGTTCTGGCTGCGGTCCCAACGAGTGCAAGGGCCTTCCCAACCGTGAGCTCATCAGGCCGCCATACATGATCCAGAACGGCGCCGGTCCCACTCTTGCCGACAGCACCGCCGACACGGATCTGGTGCAGAGTGGTGGATACGTCCAATACGATACCCACAACCTTTACGGCGCTATGATGTCCTCGCACTCTCATAATGCCATGCGAGCTAGGCGTCCGGATGACCGAGCTTTGGTGATTACCAGGAGCACGTTTGCCGGCTCTGGAAAGGATGTGTCTCACTGGCTTGGAGGTAAGATCATTACAAGATTGACAATAGTACCAACAACAACAGCAGCATGCTAACTCCTCTACAGATAATGTATCCGGGTGGCTTTGGTACCGCCTCTCCATCAGTCAGATTCTGCAGTTCGCGTCCTTGTACCAAATCCCCGTCGTGGGTCCCGACGTTTGCGGTTTCGGTGGTAATGTCACAGAGACCCTCTGTGCCAGGTAAGAACTCGAATCACGGACCCCTTCACATAGCGACCAGTCCGGGGCTAATATAGACCATCTAGATGGGCAACCCTTGGCTCCTTCTACACATTCTTCCGCAACCACGCCGAGATCTATGCCAACCCTCAAGAATTCTACCGCTGGCCGACCGTAGCTCAAGCCGCCCGCAACGGAATCTCCATCAGATACCAGCTCCGTAAGTCATACACCCACCGAGCCTCCTCTTGAAAAACCAAGTTGAGATTTTACTAACAATACTTCCAGTTGACTACATCTACACAGCTATCTACAAGCAAAACCAAACCGGCACACCCACCCTCAACCCCCTATTCTTCAACTACCCCAACGACCCCAACACTTACCCCATTGACCTCCAGTTCTTCTACGGTGACGGAATCCTCGTCTCTCCCGTCACAGAGGAGAACAGCACAAGCGTCACCTTCTACCTCCCCGACGACATCTTCTACGAATGGGGCACCGGCAAGCCCGTCCGCGGACAGGGCGAATACGTCTCCCTCGACAACATCGACTACACAGACATCACCGTCCACTATAAGGGTGGCATTGTCTACCCCCAGCGCGTCGAGAGCGCGAACACCACCACCGCTCTGCGCCAGAAGGGCTTCAACATTGTTGTTGCGCCGGGCTTGGATGGCCACGCCGAGGGCTCGCTGTATCTTGATGACGGCGAGTCAGTTGTGCAGGATACTGTGTCGGAGATCGACTTCGTTTATGAGGATGGTAAGCTTAGTATGACGGGTTCGTTTGAGTACGAGGCTGGTGTTAATATTGAGCTCATCACTGTCTTGGGTGTGGAGAGCAAGCCTGAGGGCGTTGATGGTGATGAGGATGTGGAGTATGATGCCGAGAACCAGAAGTTGGTGAGACATGTTGATGTGCCTTTGACGGGCGAGTATGAGGTTACGATTCTGTGAATGATTTGGTCTGTGATGAGATAGCTAGTAAGCATATATCTTACGAGGCACATACATACGAATTTTCTTGTTCAAAAATAATGATTCCAGTTTCTGTACAGCCCAATTCAGTAACGACTATGTGCGCAAAGTCATTTCAAGATAAAAGATTCATATAGCTTATGGAGATAATATAATCCGGGCCCTGTTTACTCTAGATTGACTAGCAGCCATGTCAGGCTTCCACGTTAGTCAGGGAGTTTGACGCAAAGACGTTGAATGACCTTTATCAGAGAGTCTGTGCACGAGGCCATCACTACAAACCATACGTATCAGTAGAATACCGCTCAAAAACTGATTTTGGAACTACCACCACTATATATGCCCATTACATGAATGTAGATGTCTAACATGTCACTTTCCAGGAACGGGGGCGCAAATGACGTTTGGTAAATGATCTTATGATTTCATGGTCTTCGGAAAGAAAGCATGAAAATTACTATTTCTCCAGTTCAGTCACTTCAGCCACATCATCTCGATAACTTCCTGAAAATTCCATGCATGTGTCAAAGGATCCATACCGAGCATCCAAAGAGTCCCGTATGTAGTTTGATCGGGGCTGCCATGGTGGTGTTTCTCCCGCCATGGGTACATTGCCCTCTTCCCTCAGCATATAATTAGAACTCAAGTTCCAGAGCTGACAAGGTTGACCTGCCGAACCATACATGCGAGGAGTAGCTCCCCGAATATTCTCCTTCTCCATATGTTTTATCAGCCGACAGATGAGTAGAGCGGTTGCGTCCGCTCCAAGAGTCCACGAGGCATCTGTCAGATGCCCCAAAACAAAGAAACAGTTCGGAATATCTTGCAGCATCATGCCTTTCCACATGACTTTATCAGCAATATCACACGGGACTTTGTCCAATTCAAATTGTGCTCCACCCCCAGTTTGCAACCTAAGACCTGTAGCAGTTACAATAATATCCGCATCGACGGCCCTGCCGCTGTCGAGAACAACTGTGCTCGCAGTAACTGTCTCGATGTTTGCTGTCTCAACGTTGACTTTGCTGGTGTGCAAACTTCGGAAGAAATCCCCATCCGGGCATGCTAACAGTCGCTGATCCCATACGTCGTAGTTGGGTTCAAAATGAGGCGACAGGGGAATATCTTCAGGAAGTTGTTTCGCTGTCAGCCCTAGCAAAATACTTCTTGCAAGTCGGGGAAAGCTTCGACAGAAATAATAGCTCCCTAGCATGACTGCCATCCATCCATAGCGCCTCAGTTTGTGTGTTACTATAACAGGCAGTAGCAGATCCATCCATGTATCTCCTATATCAGAGGGAACAGACACAATATAGCTTGGGCTTCTCTGGATCATCGTTACAGTAGACGCTGTCTCTGCGAGCTTGGGAATAAGTGATATTGCGGTAGAACCGCTGCCAATGACGGCGATCTTTTTTCCAGTATAATCGAGCTTTTCTGGCCAGAATTGGGGATGCACGACCATTCCTTTATAGCCGCTCAAGCCCGGTACTTCTGCTGAGAGCGGCCGCTCATGATCATAGTATCCTGTGGCAAATATCACGAAGTTTGCAATAAAACGGCGCTCTTGACCTTGACACGCCGCAGTCAAGCTCCATTGACTTTCTTGCGAAGCCCAACTCAGCTTTTTGAGCCGATGATTGAACAAAATGCGATCGTAAATCTTATATTCCTTCGCAGTTCGGTTGATATATTCAAAAATAGAACTCCCATCGAGCATAGTCTTGCTATGGTGGTATGGTTGCCACGGAAATCCAAATGTATGGATGCCAGTGTCTAGTCGAACTCCAGGGTACCGAAAAAGGTCCCATGTACCACCCGGAACGTCTCGAACTTCAAGAATGGCATATGAGTAGCTTGGTAACATGGTCTGGATGCGATAAGCCGCATTGACACCGGCCACGCCGGCTCCGACAATGATTATATCGTATTTTTTTGCGGGTTCCATGAGTGGACGTCTTTGAGTGTATGAATGTGAGAGTAGCTGGATACCGAGCCTTCAGTACCGTTAATTATCTTAACACAGAATTGCCATCAATAATGGTTTATTCAGGCAATGATAGGCTTTTTAGTCATTGTGAAAACCAGATAATATAGTTTCACCGGTGCGTATGTGGCGCCAAGCTCTCTTCTTTTTAACTTTGAAATCTACAAGATTGTGAGATCCAGAAAGCAACACAACTTGCTTACCAAGGACTGGATATATTCAATCATGTTTTCACTTCCAAAATCCACCTCCTTCCGGGTTACATTGATTTTGAACTATATGGGTCTTCGGAGAAAAGGTCTCAGAAATTTGTTCATACCTCCGTATAAGTGAAGCAGAGTCAAATGCTTTTCGAATATAAAAAAAGCATTATATACAAACCGACTACTTTTCACCAGCTCTACTAGTGCTGCCACTTCATTTTGGCCTGGAATTAACGAAAGGTTTCCTTGAGTTACTCTGTAATTAATTTGTGAATACCTTCTGGCAAATTGGCCGCATTACCAATGCCTTCCCACGTTTTCGCTGTAACCTCATCACTCTCTGTCTGTGGCAGTCATATTTCAGGGCAATCAGCACATCAAGCTAAGTTTGTTGCTTTTCATTCAAAGTATTTATCCGTAAGCCAAATTCTGACCTCTCATCCAATGATAAAAGGCCTTCGTAAGAATATGGAAATCATCTTCCAATCATACATTAGCGTATACGCAAAAGTAAACATCAATCTAGGTGGCCAGAAGCGCGGTCAGTGCATAGGGCTATTCGCGCAGCAACTATATATTTCTCCGCAGATGTTCCGCTTCGCATAGACCGGGGAAACTTTGTCAGTCTTGGTTCGTTAAAACGATATGTATACAAATTCGTTTGATATATTCACTAACAATACCATTGTATTTTAAGTAAAATTGTCAATATCGCAAAAAAACAAAGTGTTGTTGGGGAGGAACAACAAACGAATGAGGCAAAAAAAAGATCTCCCCGACTGGGAGTCGAACCCAGGTCTCCCGCGCTTGTTCTCGTATGAGATGACAAGCGGAAATCATGACCGTTAGACCATCGAGGAATTGATGGAAAGCATCTTTCTTTTTAACTTTATATTCCAAAGCGGTCAATATTCTCTAGACATCACGACCCCTTGATAGCCCTAATTCCATACTGAGTGCAACCTTCTCAATCCGGGATTACGAATGCAAATAGAAGCTGTCTCTGAATTAAAAAAAGAAATGTAAAACTTTGAATGTGTCGGAAGAAATAAAAATACTATACTTGCTCACAAATACTGACCCTGTTACTCGAGAATGCCTCAGTACTTTGATACCTCTCTCTTTTTTTTTCATTGTACTATTATACTCACGGCTTTGAAAGAATTACCCGACAAAAAAATAATCTTCCCTAGGCTAAAAAAAGGATATGACAGCCAACCCTCTTATATACGGCTTAGTTCGCCACTCGCAAGTAACCATTTACCTTGAAATTTCAACTATTGCAGTCCTTATCCGCCAATCTAATTCAAATCCTCCAGACTTTTCGCTTTTAACACTTGTGTCGAGCATACCTTAGTATGTCTTAACAGCAAAGGGAAATTACCATCAATATCGCTGAGCAGCTTTTGCGGCTTTCTTTGGGTGAATTAGCACTGTTGGAAACAGGCATAGATATTTGAATGTGATGCATGTCTTTGTTCTATGGCTCTCTTGGTATTAGAGATTGTTTTTATATCTTTTGAAGATGAGGCCTTATTCTGGGTTCTTGTAATTGATCTGTTTTAGTGCTGCTTAACAGAGAAGGTAGGGGGTGTTTATAAGCAGATATTCAACGTAAGCTAGATTGCACTATTAAACTAAGTGTTAAAAGTGGAACCAAACGACGGTTGAAACAGTGCTCCAAGTATCAAGCGTATCAAATCCAAAGTTTATTCAATTCAATTCCCATATTAGAAATTAGTCACTATTTACCACATGGAATATCAATTTTTGAAAATAAATAAATAAAGGAAAAAACAGACAGACAG